AAGAAGCAATAGACATATGACAATGTGCATAACAGCAATTTAACCCAAAGACTGTAGAACAATTTGCATGATTTGCATTTGCAGCACATGGACTTAAAGCTTTAGTATCAGGAGCCTCCTGTAGGGAGAGACATTGCACTGCCAGTGGACTGACTTCTGGAGTAACAGTTTGACACTTCAGTTTGCCTGCAGGTTTCTTAATTGATCACAACTTTTTATTGTCACAAATATATAAAAAAGCTTGTGCTAAAAATTACCCCCATGTTATTTTAGTTGCTGTAACAAGCAATAAACAGTCATGTAGTTTGTACAAACAAACTATGACAATGACATTGTGTTTCAAGAACTGCATTCTTGCATATTAATTGCAAAAAGTGTAAAAGTGGTAACTGTGGACTGTTGTATTTTTAGCTAAATTTATTTGCATGATGGGAAAACATAATTCCCCAGAATGCTGAAGGTCTTAGTGATCAGATTTGAGGTGAAGGCATCAGTTGCATTAAAAACAGATAGAGATGGATGGCAGTTTGCCTATCTGCTCAGCTCCCATCTATGTCAATGCCTTGAATACAATGCTCTCATTATGGCATGTGACACAGACTACATATTGTGCGCTGCTCAGGCTTTGAGAAAGGGGAGAACTCTGGGTCTTTGTGAAATGGGTCATGTCCGTGTAGTGATTAACAGTTAGCTATGTCAGCAGAAAGATGTGATTTGATAATTCCCATAGTGTACGAACCCCAGAGAAACACAGAGACCTGCGAAGGGGCCGCGGTCACACTTATTATCCCATGATCCTTTGTCTGGCTCTGAGCACCAGACATTTGTAGGGTCAGATTGGATGTTGAAGTGGAGTGTTAGTTTGAATTAGCCTCAAATGCAACTAGAAACCTCCATGAATACATCTCAATCTGGGACGCAGAGCGGAGGGTCTAAATGTGGACGTGTTCCCAGAGCTGACAGCATTGGTTACAGTAACAGTAGTGTGGCCTGCTGTTCATGCAACAGGAATTGGGATCCTAGCATCTGCACAATGCCTGAGGAAACATGGATAGATTTCATTTCTAAATGTGTCTTCTGTGTCCGGATTCTGGTATCGTAGCTCTTTCAAATGTTTGAGCCTGAATTTGATTCAATGCTCACCTCAAATCACATGTCAGAAAAAGCTTTGTCACCCCACCACGTGGAGTCAATGTCCTAGAATAACCCCGCAACACTGGAACAAAGGTAATTATGGAAGGAGTGAAGTTTTCACAGTGGCTGTTTTGTAGCCATAAAAGTTGGGCAGGTGTTCATAGTTCAAAAAGAGGTTTGTCAATGGTTCACATGCAAAACCTCTGAAAAAGAGTAAAACTTTGATAAGGTGAAGGACAAATTAGTCTGGTTGCAAGTTGACGATTTGGGAATATGTGTGTGTGTGTGTGTGTGTGCATATTTTGTGCAAGCCTATACTTGGGGGTGTGTCTGAGCATGTGATGTCATGGTTCGGATCCGGGTGATCCCTTCGTGGCCAATCAGTGTGAAGAAGGAGGTTGCTGCTGGAGGCAGTCTGTGGATGATTAGAGGACAGGCAGATAAGAGTCTAAACCAGGCTGTAAAACACTGACCTGTGGGAGTGAGTTAGTGGTGTAGTACATGGAACCAGTCTGCAGCAGCCTGAGCATGACATATATTAGGTTTATACAGATGGACATGATCCAGAAAATACATAATTCAAGCTGTACTACAGGGTTATGGGATGTTCAGTCATCGACTAAAAGACAGTCAGGTCCTACCCGTCAGAGATCAGGGCCTGGATCCCTTCAAACCAGATCGGATCAGAGTGCATGGACGTAGATTCAAAAACTTCAAAGAAGAAACGTCAGAATCCACAAACTTAATTATATAAGCCAAGGTTCATTTCTGCACATCTTCACTTTTCATGCAGCATGCTGTGGACTGGAGGAAGACGAACTACACTCTGCAGAAGCCAACGAAGATCCAGGGATTTTACTTAGTTGTAAAAGTTCTTTACTATGATGGACTAATGTTTTGTAGAATATTACTGGATAGATGCTTTCAGACATGAATTGAACTCAGGACAATCTCCTGAAATTATCCAGATTGCCACATTTTCTTGACAATTTTCTGCTGAGTTCTTCTTATATGACAAAATGACGGAAAATGAACAGAAAATGTCTGGACCCAGTTGTGCAGACATTCTCTGGAGTTCATGTCTGAAAACGCCTTGAGTCCAAAACTCGCAGCTGCATCTGACTTCCAGAAAACACTGTGTTAACACCAGAGCAATCATTTGCACACATAAATCATTTACACGCAAATTAAATAGTTTGGTGGTCGCCAACACACATTGTTCCCCTGATCTGTACTCTGTGAGAAACATGATCTTGTTTTGGCAATTCATCTGAGCTTTTTATGATTTTGATGATTTTACAGGAGAAGCAGCAGTGATTTGTTTCAGAACTGATCTAATGGGCCTCTGTAGCAACAAGTATTTCCTGTGGAGATGCTGTTAGAAAAGCTTCAACGTGTCTCCACTGTTAATGTCTGTAACTATTTTAATGGACGGCTGAACCATTATATTATCTCATACGGGAAACATATACATTTCATAGCTACTGTCTGCT